TACTGGAGAAACCAGTGGCTTTTTCCTCTGAAAGGAAGGAACAGGAAGACAGAGTCCTCAACAGGCTTGCTTCCCTCCTGCACCTCCTCTGATAACATACAAGATAAGCTGAGAAGAAATAAAGTCCTATTTACAAATGTCAAAAGAAATCTATCAGCAAGAGGAGAATGCAAAGGAAGGGATCTGCAAGCAAAGCTAAAAGGGAAAGCCCATTCATCATGCTGGTGACTTCCAGAAAAGGATGGATGGCTTTCAGAGTAGAGGGGAGTATGGGGAAATCTTAATTCCCAGTGCTCATTTTTATTTTATCTACATGTCTACAGGAACAGATCACTCACAAGGACCCTTTGCTGAACAGAGACACAGGACAACTGGACAAACTGTTTCAAGGCATCACAGTCCCTGAAGCCAAACCCCAACACAGAACAGGTCTCTGTACAACGATTTTTGCTGGTTATTTTGCACTCAAATTCAAGTCCATAAAGATTCATTGATTTTGAAAGCTTGCTCTTTTGATACAGAGTTTGAAGCAGGCAGAGAGTAACTAAGCCAAGCAGTACCCTTTCACTTGAAAAGTAAGGTGAAAAAGTAATCAAAGTTTTATAAAACAAAAGGATGGAGAGTGGAAGCTGACACTCCCCTTAACATGTATAATGTTGCACAGTAGGGTAAGTCATTTATTAACCAGTGGGTGTTTAAAGTCTGTAAAAGAGATTGGTCAGATCCTATCTATGCTATTTCTTAAACCGAAGCAGGGTATGCCTAAGGATATGGTTTCACAACATTACAGGCTGAACTAAGACCTTGATGCTAGGGGAGCATCATGCCTCTCCTCTCTGCTTGGCTGTATGTTCCTCTCAGTTAAACTCAAAGACCTGTAACAAAAGAAATGCTCTCACCCAACATCAGGAAGAACTTGAACCGATGAAAGGGAGAACTGCCTCCAGTGTGTGCTTCTCATCCATAGTAAAGACAGGAACACATCTGTTCCATTTTATGAAAGTTTAGTGAAACCTGTGGCAAACCACCATGCTCAGCTGAGCTCAGAAAAACTTAGTGGATTGAGGGCTAAATAATCATCACCATCATCATCATCACCATCATCGTCATAAAAGGATGTTTCAGACATTATATTCAGGATGCAAAGGTAACAATGTCACTCCGTAAGTTCTGAAGAAACCAGCCTGCCAAAACCCCAACACAGCAGAACAGCAGAAAAACAGCAAAGGCCTGGCAAAGGAGCTGACAAGTGCCAGAGCCTGGAGCTTGCACAAGGGAAGAAGAGGGACTTTGCAGCTATAGGTGGCAGGGAGGAATGGTCAGGTTTTGATGACAGTAAGTGATATATCAGGTTCAGCTGTAACATGTAATTTCATCCTCCGATACAAAAAAAACCCAACCTGCTGGGCACACATGAAAAATCAGTTGTATCTGTAGCAAGAAGTCAGCAGACATTTTAGTAAAAGCCATAAGCTTGAGGCAAACTGTTTATTGGTAAATGGCATAGATGTCTTTTAAAAATGTGAACGGATGTCAAGACATGTAAGGGTCACAAAAGTTGGCACTTCAATAAAACCCCACAATAATTTCAGACCAATTGACTTTCAAAGCACAGCCCACCAAAACCTTGACTGGAAGAGGGACAGGGCATTCTAGTTTCAAAAGCACTCCCGCTCACAGCACAGTTGCTCCAGTCACACTTCCACTCCTCAGAGAAACCTCAGCACTATCCCCACTGGCACTGAGCTGGGCTGAAGCCAAAATAAACTTGGCATAAAGTACAAATGCCCTGACCTGGAACTGGATATGGACAAAGCATTTGTTCTCAGGGACAGGGGTAGAGGAGCTAGAGATAGAACCCAGCAGAAAGATCATTCTTTGAATTAGGGCTGATAGGGTGCAGAGGATCCCCGCTGAAAGTGAGAACAAGAAAGGGACCAGCTTTGGCTCCCATACCAGGCTTTGGGCTCCTAAACCACTGCTTGTGGTGGGTTACATACTGCTCTGTCAGAACACCGAGCCAAAGTTGGTCTGTTAGAGCAGAAATTACTTAGAAAGGATATAAGGAGACAACCCTGGCAGGGTTTCAGCTCACAAAAAGTTAAAATTACACTTTGACACGAAGCCAAGTCAAGACTCCAAAGTCTGTCGCTTCTTTATGAGCTCTTCCTCTGTACTGTGAAGGACTCGGTAACAGTTAAGGCTAACTCTTACTTTAGTTACTTGAGCAATATAACAAAATAAATCAAACTAATTCTCCAAAAGCCAGGAATATAATTACTGAGCTGTAATACAGAGTTATACAGTTCATTTTACACAGATGATGAGAGATCGCCCTAACTATGCCCACTAAATCACTCTTGGCAGTGTAATCCACATGCAATCAAGCAAACAGCAGGTTCATAGGATCAAATTTGTACAGTTCATTGCTAAACAAGCACTAAGTCTCAAGTTCACTTTATGTTTTACTTAACACAGAGTTCCACATTTGCCACCTACACTCTAGAAATTATACATGCACTTTGATTCAAACTGGCCACAAAATACTGCTCATGTAGCTCTAGAGTTTTAAAGCCATTTATCAGAAGTGGTTTGGCTCATTTTTAGTCGATAGATAAGGAAAAAAAAAATGTTGGCTGTTCAATTTCAGGACAGCACACTGATGAGATTCAGTACATACACCATCTCAGGTTAATATCCAGTGGTGTTTTATATATATACATATGTGTATGTTATAATCCCAGGAGAATCCTAGGTTAACCATAATCCAACCAGCAGTCTACTGGCCAAGTTTACAAGACAAACCCACCCATCTTTCCACTGCACAAGCCAGAAAGACATTTCTTGAACAGATCATGCTATGTTAATGGCCAAGTAACTCCTCTACCATACAGCCAAGCACTACAACCCTGGGAAGAGACTCGTCCTTCATCTCCTAAATGCACAACCTGTTTGGGTCAGGAGGTCTGGCAGGAGAGGAGTGCAGAGAAAAAAAGTCTGAAAACTGAGACTTCTATACCTTCTGTACACCAGATTATCCTGATCTAGACATTCCCTACCTTTCTGCAACCAAGTAGTACTTGAGAAAACTGGCAGTGTCCTGCCTTCCTCCTTTCTTCTTTCTAGTTCCAAGCGCATACAGACCCCTGACCTGAATTCTCCCTCCAATGTGCATATGCTGCAGTTTTCATAACAATTATTAACAAATATAGTCTACAGTAAGATGGACATTCTTTAAAACATGGGTGTCACTGAAAGCATTCTCCCCAAAATCTGAGCTATCACATAAGTGTAGAATAATTAAAGAGGGAAGGGACATCCGTAAGTCACTTAGTCCAACCCCTACTAAAAGGTCTAATCGGATCAGGTTAGTCAAGGCCACATGCATCTGAGTCCTAAATACCTCCAAAGAGAGGTTCCACAAGCTCCGAAATTGCTGGAGAAAAACAGATGCAAGGAAGACGCAACAGGACTGAGGACTTGCCTCTGACAGAGGCCAGAAGACAACTCTCGAGGTCAATCAAATGTAACCAAAGCAGTACCAGGGAAAGAAAAGTCTGCCTGCAACTGGTAACTATGGCTGCAATTTATCAATGGCCCCCATACTGCACTGACACTTAACAATGCTTCTTGCTTCACTGGTGAAATCCTAGTTGAATTAACTAATCCAGTTGAGCTACAATTCCAAATTTCTTCTCTATCAATACAAAAGGTCCCAAATGCTCCCTTATTAATTCCAAGATCCCCATGCTTCTCTTCAGTGATGAGACAAGGCAGCTGCTCCAACGCAAAGTTCAGCAGTAGATTTACAATTAAAAGAATGGGCACCAGCAATTTGGCTATTTTCTGAAATCCCCAAGGACCCTGGCTAGCTTAGTCTCCTTTTCATCTTCTTGCTGACACTCCACCTGCAGTCTTAGCAGAACTTCAGGGACATAGCTATAGAAATACACGTTCAGAAATTTATCATAGAGCTACAGAATCATGTATTTTGCCAAGAGAATAGTCAGTGATTTTGCTCCAATGCTGCAACACTTTCAATTATAAGGAAAAAAAAAAAAAAGCACATTCCACTCCCTCAATATGCAAGTTATAAGCAAAGATGAAAGCAAAATCCTCACTGAGACGTAAATTCACAAGCGTCTTAGTGCAAACCCTATGGAAGCTCTTCCTTTTGCTAGGACTTTCACAAAACATTCTCCTTTGGAGATACCAAGATGCGTAACAAGGCATTTCAGCTGTAAAACAACTCCATCAGCAGTAAATCACACCAAAAATAAAAAAAAAATGACCACTGGGACCAGCTGTCATTCATCCTGGTACTAGAAGAACATTTACCTTCTACCAAACACAGACCACTTCTGGTTTCCAGCCCAGCTGAAAGAATTCCTGCGGCAGAAGTCACTATCTTGATCCCAATCTAAAAATTGTAAGTTTACTTAATAAATTGGATACTGTTAGAGAAAGACTACCAATTCTTTCTTTTCAAAAAGAAGCTACTTAACCAACTTAGTGGATAACCTATAAACATTTCAAACAAGGGAAGCAACAATATTAACTGGAAATAGGCCTCTGTCACATTCTTCTGTTTTTTTTCAGTGGGAAGAGGGAAAGAGAAGAGGAAAGGCAATGACAGGCCAATTTTCCTGTCATTTTCAGGGTCCTTCATGTAAATTTGTCAAGTAGGATGCACTCATGAAACATCAAATTATTTTGATAGGACACAAAGAAAAGCTTGCTTGTCTGCAAGCTCATTACCTTACCCATTACTCATTAGTTTAATATTAATTTCCATTATCTGCTAAAATCATCATGGCTACATTAACGATACTAGTAACTCAGTTTAGGGTAGCACTCCAGACCCAAGACACTCATAGTGATGATATTTTTATTAACAGAAACACATGTGCTAATACACATATATATAAATTAAAACCTTTATTTTCAAATGAACACTGAGCACAGACTGTAAACCAAAACAAACCTTAACAGTGACTTACCAGGAAGCCTGTTCAAGTTGACCCCTTGAGCAGACAGTCCTATTCCCATGTACCTTCAAAAAAACAAAGTATCAGTCAAGCACAGAATTGCCCAGCCACCTGATCTCCCGCAGCAGAAACAAGAGTAGTAAGAAAATCCCAACACACAATCATTTAAGGTAAGAATCACTTTTCCATTACTTTTTTACTCTTTTATTGAATCCAAGATAAAATGTCAGTCTGCTTCAGAGACTGACAGCTTTCCAGTATATAATTACAGCTATTCTTTAGCTCTTCATGTGCAGGAAGAAGACTGGAAAGCAATCGGCAACTAAACTTCTGGAGGTTTTGGGGTTTGTTGTTGAGGTGGGTTTTTTTCATATATCATTAAAAAAAAATTATAGAGGTGGTTAACAGTAAAAAATACATAAGGTCAGCTAGAGTATATGGGGACAAATGTCTATCAAGCCTAAGGTATGGCCTAAGGAACGGCTGGCAAGGGATGCACAGGACAGAGCAAACAGTTGTACTTTCCAAGAACATTCTTTCATTGTGCAACACATATTTTATGCATTTCTAAGGTGTCCTTTCTGTATTTCACGCCCCAATAGATTTCCTCCATTAATGTGATCGCTTTCTAAACCTTTGCAAGCTTTTTCAGAGGACAACATCCTGCAGCTCCACCACTTAATTACGGTCCGAGCTGATTCTGCTTCACACTTGTATTTTAAGAATTAGAAGAGAGGGGAAGAACGTTTCTCTGTTAACTTTACTCAAGGATTTGACAGTCCTCATTCATAACCCACTCCCCAGCGCTCTCAAGTTCAACTACTCACAGTCTACTCCGTTGTTCCTCTTACGGAAGCTCCTCTATACATCTTAATACTCTTGCTACACTTCCAGTTTTGTATTCTCTTTGAGAAGCCAGGGGAAACCAGAACAGCGAGCCACCAGAACAGCAAGCCACAAAGGCTCATCTTCCTCACTGCAATATTTATGCACATACACATTTTGTTTGTTCTATTTCTGTTAATTCTTATGGTCTGTAAATCTTTTAACCCCTGGAACCACAGAAAAAGCTTCCCTGCTCACTCGTTTTTTTTTAACAAGCTTCCGTATTTTTAGGTTGCTGTTGGGCTCTTGCTCATGTAAATGTATAAATTCAACAGGTGCAGCCAGCATCCCCCTGTTTTTTCACAGTAATTTTCTTCTTGTGGCTTCCTCAACCACCTGCTCCACAAAACATTATTCATGCAAAAAACTTACTTCAGTAGTTGACCCAAAGTTAAATTTCTTCAAGCTATGTGGGTTAAGTCTTCTGCAGCAACTACTCCCTGCCCTTCAATTCTCCAACTCAATGTCAACACCCCAATCAAATAGCATGGAAATGGTAATAACTGATTTTTTTTGTTTTTTACACAGAAATGTTAATTGTTAGAGATCTAAAAGCTTATCAGATCTTTATTTACAATCTCTTTAATAAATGGAACTACATCGTCACAAACACGGCCAATTTAGTCTTTCTTGTGCACTTCAGGTCCTGGTAGAATGAAGTTCCATATTTTAATCATGCAAACCCCAGCTTTTCAGGGCTTTAAATTAAGTCAGTCCCTTATTTAGAAAACATGCCCTATTTCAGAAGAGGCCCAGTTTCCAGAAGATCCTCCCCACACCAATTCTTCAGTAAAAATACTCGAAAGTGCTCCTCCTCACCTCTCTGGTACTGAGCTAATATCAGTACTGTGTAAAGCTGGAGAAAAGCATTTTGGAAACTGCTACAGCAGATACTCTGGTTTTCAACTTCCTATGTAATAATCAAAGTTTTACATACAGAACCACAGAAAGTGTTGTTGCCCCATTCCTGGCAGTGTTCAAGGCCAGGCTGGACGGGGCTTGAAGCAACCTGGTCTAGTGGAAAGTGTCCCTGCCCATGGCAGGGGGTAGGAACTGTATGAGGTTTAAGGTCCCTTCCAACCCAAACCATTCTAGGATTCTCTGATAACCTTTGCTGCTCTTCTCTATGCCTTCAGCTCCAAAGGCATCACAACTATCACTTCACACTCAGCAGCAGGCACAATACTTGGATACCTCAGGAGAGCTGCGTGCTTATGTCTACCAGCCCACTTAGGATGTCATTTTTTGTCCCTGGATTCAGAAACACAGTTATCCATATATCTGATAACTGAACTGTCAGCCATCGTATGGTCCACCATTTCCTTTTAGCTGGCCCTTGGCCTCTCTGGGCTGTCTTCAAGAGTGACATGATACATGATCATAGAATCATAGAATAGTTAGGGTTGGAAAGGACCTTAAAATCATCTAGTTCCAACCCACCCTGCCATGGGCAGGGACACCTCACACTAAACCATGACACACAAGGCTCTGCCCAACCTGGCCTTGAACACTGCCAGGGATGGAGCATTCACAACTTCCCTGGGCAACCCATTCTAGCGCCTCACCACCCTTACAGTAAAGAATTTCTTCCTCATATCCAATCTAAACTTCCCCTGTTTAAGTTTTAGCCCATTACCCCTTGTCCTGTCACTAAAGTCCCTATTGAAGAGTGCCTCCCCAGCATCCCTATAGCCCCCTTTAGATACTGGAAGGCTGCTATGAGGTCCCCACGCAGCCTTCTCTTCTCCAGGCTGAAGAGCCCCAACTTTCGCAGCCTGTCTTCATACAGGAGGCGCTCCAGTCCCCTGGTCATCCTCATGGCCCTCCTCTGGACTTGTTCCAACAGTTCCATGTCCTTTTTATGTTGAGGACACCAGAACTGCACACAATACTCCAAGTGAGGTCTCACGAGACGAGAGCAGAGGGGCAGGATCACCTCAACCTGTTGGTCACACTCCTTTTGATACAGCCCAGGATATGGTTGGATTTCTGGGCTGCGAGCATACACTGAAGCCAGCTCATGTTCATTTTCTCATCAACCAACACCTCCAACTCCTTCTCCACAGGGCTACTCTGAATCTCATCTCTGCCCAACCTGTAACTGTGATCATGATATGGAGAATGTATTCCTGGACCCGTAACTTCACACAGCTCAGCATTTTCCTGCCACAAGATGAGGGCTTTGAGAGTTCAAAGCTTCTTGGAATGAACACTGACAAACAGGGCTATGCCAATGTAATGGCCAGCTACACGCAAGAAAGGTCAGCTGAGGTCCTTCAGCACTCACCATGCAGAAAACAGGTAACTACACAAGCAGGATAAATTTTTTTAGCAACTCTTCATTCAATTTTCAGCCGCTCATTTGGAAGTGAGGTTTGTTAATCACCAGCACAAACCAAACAGAACTTACACCTATTCTGTTGGGTGTCACCAGAATAAATAATCAAAGAATTCATGTCAGTAATGCTTTATGCTGTTCCCAGGCTGAATACACCATTTGCCTCTGACACAGCTTATATGACCTTTGTTGAATATTAGCTGACTTAGAGAACAAAGTCAGCTGCTATGAGCAAAAGATCTGAAGTTTGAAAACTAAACTGGTGGTACACCTCAGTTTAAGGTATAGCTGGTTTCAACCACAGTATTTTGCAGGCTTTGGTGTCATATCAGATGTAATAGTGCTTTGGGTGGCAGGTGGAGCACTTGGTTATTTTTCTAGATCCCAGTGGTAATTTCAGCCTGGTGAGGCTTGTATTATGCCTTTTCTTTCTTAAATGGTGCTCAAGTCAAGTCTTCATCTCTGATTTGTATCTTTTTTCAGTATTCCTACATATATTGCTAATCTACATCATCAGTGTTTTTCCCTTCCTGAAGGTAACTCAGAAAAGGATGATCTGACCCTTCCTACAGCTAACAGATACCAGTTGAACATGATCCTAAAAGTGGAAGGGAGCTGGGAATCTAATACCTTGGTCCAGCAAAAATAGTTTTTTATTCTTCCTCTGTAGTTTTGCCAGTATGTACTCATAAACAGACTGAGAAGTGTTATGTTAACACATTGCTGCCTGCTGCCTCCTCATTTTGTTCCCTTCACTCACCTTCTCTTCCACGTTCTTTGGCTTTTAGAGCTTCTCTGCCTTTCTAAGGGCAGCTGAGCAGCATCTCCTCCATTCCTCAGGATACTTGTAGTTGTTTTAAATGCGTTTTTAAGAATTTGATTTTCTTGCCTTTATTTCCTTCTTTTCACCCTTGCATTATTTCTTTACTGACCTCTGCTTGACGTACTGGGATTCTTTCTGTCAGTGCTATTTCTGAAGCACCATTACAGAACAGCACAACATCCACTAGTAAAAACAGAACTGCTTCCACTTCAGACATCCATTATACTCCATTATGTAGTTCCAAAACATTTATTGTTAGGAGTCAGAGATAGTTGGAATCCAGTATTTTATGCACCACAGGTGTATATATATATATATATATTTTTTTTTTTTTAAAACAGATGCAACTTGTTTTTTCACTCCCTTAAAAGAACATGCCCCTTCCCCCACCATAACTGCAACAATGTGGTTTCAGGTGGTGAATTGATAAGGGTTATCTTCTCTCAACACTCTTTAAACCTGGCATGAAGTCAGGGCCCACCTCAGACAAGAATGATAGTTCAGAGCTTTGCACAAGAGACTGTGGAAGTGTCTGAAATGCCACCAGTGTTATGGGGTGTATTATTAGTCTCTAACTCCAGAATTCAGTATGATTATTTTAGACTTAGCTGTGGGTGTTGAAGGAGTGGGATGCATGATACCTGGGAGGACAGGATTCCTACCAGATAGGTGTGGTTATTAGAAAAAAATGCAGGATGCAGTAAGCCTTTGAATCACAGGCCTACTTCTGGAGGAAAGGAACATCCCCCTGGTTAACTCATGGCTCAGCAGGGCTGCTTGGTCTTGGCTGAGCTGCGTAATAAAATTCTAACCCCGGGAATTTCTACCACGTGTTAGTGATGTTCCTACTTCACTGACTGAGTAGGGCATGACTGCTTTGTTGGAAGTCATGACCTACTAACTTATTTAACATCTATGTTTTTAAGTTGGGGCCTTAGGTTATCTTGGCATACACAGTTGTCTTTCTTTACAGCATGTTTTACCCTGGCACGGTGTTACTGGAGCAGCAAAGAAGAGTT